TTTATTGACTTTCGTGGTTTGGAACTGGATATTTACCTTGTATTCTAAATCTTTGTCATTAACTAATTTCTTTCTTTTCTTAATTAAAGTTTTAGGAATACAATATGCTACTAATAAATCAAGATTTATGGTCTTCACAAACTTTATTAGTATCTCGTGTTGCTTCCATTAAGGATCATTATTTTGGGGGACGTTTTTAGTGATGGATGGTCATTCTTGTTAATAATCTTTAGAATTAATTTATTCTTCAGGTTTCATTCTTCCCTCCTTTAGTTATTCTTGTCATTCTTTGCTAATTCGAACTATCCTTTCTAACTAGGTGAGTTAACTTTAATTAAAACTTATATTATCATACTTTTATTTCCGTTCAAAGTAAAATGGTTGTTAAACTTTTCCCATTTGTTACTCTTGTTTGTTTTCTTTTCACACTGTTCCTCAGTTGCTAAAACTTGTATTTAAGATTATGAGTCTTCTGTTTTCTTTCATATAAGCTTAACTTTCGCCATTTTTTTTATAAAAAAAAAAAATTATTTAAGCACACTAGGGCATACTAAGATTACATTCCATTTTTTTTCTAAGTTCCCTCTCTCTGTTATCAATAAAGGATAAATAGGAAATATAAGATTATAAATCTTTGCTAGAGTTAACTCTGATCAATTTCTTCGATTAAATTTGGATATATTAGGATTGCCCTTCTTCTTTTCATTTTAGTCACTATACTATTGGTTCTATCTTGATGAAACTTGTGGTTATTGAAAGACTTAGGTACGTTATCTAATCATAATGTCATGTTTGTTAGAATTAAATCCTAAATTAGATATGTTATATAGAAGATTGCATTAACTTTGCTTATATATAGGCCCAAACAAGATGGAATTACTTTTCTTGAAATTTTGTCATTAGGTCCAAGTTAAGGGTATGTTGTTTTTTTAATTTATTATCTCATTGTTTATTCACAACTAATAGTTATTAAATGATAATAGAAATTTCGCTTAATCACTTATAAGGTTAAATTCTTGACTATTTAACTCACTATAGCTTATTCAAGTGAACTTCTTACATTTAGAGAAACTCTTTAAATATAATAACATTTACAATCTTTGAAGAAGTTCAATTTGTTGTTTCTTATCAAGTACTAAGTTATAATGATAATTTTAAAAGTATGTCTCTTTATTATAAGTATGCTATTTAGATTGGGATCTAAAATTTGAATCTAAATTTTTGTGCTTATGGGATTTCACTATCATTCCTTTTTTAACAATTGCTAATGTCATGTGGTTAAAGTCAAATAAGGGTGTTTATATTTTTTTTTTTCTTTCCTATGAGATCATTGCATCCTAAGTTATAGGCTGGAGTAAAATGAAACTCTTTTCTTTTTTTTAATGTTCCTAGAGAATTCGAGTAACAGTAGGATTCAAAGGAAAGTAGCTCATTCTCAAGTTAGTACTCATTAGGCTAGCTTAAGTGAAGTTATCCTATACCATCTAGTCTTTCAATTAGTCCAAGTGTTAATAATATACATTACATTAGATGGCTAAATAAAAGACATGCATGGTATAATTATTCCAAAGTCCTATACACATATGTCTAAAATTCCCCTAATGATCCTCATATTGGTTAGCTGCCAATGGAGGGGTTTCCGTTGGAGCGAAGCGTAGAGCGGTTGAAGTTAGGATGGGGGTTTAGTTGAGGGAAAATAGCTGAAGTGAACGGGCCAGAGAGACAGAGAGGGAGACAGAGAGAGGGACACAGCTCCATACCTCATATCTAGTTCGAGAGAAGGGCTTCACTTCAGCAATGGAATCAACACAGCCTTCTAGTTACGTTGTTGTTGGAAATCGCCCGTTATACTGTTCCCTACAGAGCTTCGTCAATGGAACGAACCCAACAGGGGCTTCTCCCTGTAATGGAAATCAACGGTTACACTGACTCAACCTTACACAGAGAGGAGAACAGAGAGAGATAGAGACGAAATACAGAGAGTGAGTGGGATGCAATCATGCAAATACAAGCATTAACCGGTTGCCCCGGTTTCAACTTTTTCACGATTAAACAATTCAATGGTCTTGATCAATTATTGTAATCTAACGGCTAACAATTGGGTTGCATATGGTGTGCAACCTTAAGGGGGTTGCACACTTAAGCATGACCCTAAAAATATATATAAGTTTAGTTATCTATAATGTAGAATTTGATTTTAAAATTCTGTGGTGGTTAAATTTATAGTTTACTTGGTCATAAGAATTTGTGGTGGATATAGGACTTTTGTGGAGTTTTGGTTGTAATCCAAATTGATTTTGAGGTTTTTTTGGGGGGACAATAACAAATTATGATAGTTGACCAAAAATATTTACAAATATATGGAGGCGCAAATTATTTATTTATTTTATTTTTTTAATATAAAAAAATCCAGCAAAAATTGCAACCGACAAAAGTTTTCATATTTTTATAAATATTTATCCTATTTCTTTTCTTTTCTAAAAAAACAATTATTTTCCTATTCTATTCATTAGTACAACACAATTTCAAAATTTTACTTATGTAGTGTGATTTGTAATTATGAACATTCATGTACTATGTGAATTATAAGATGTTACTTCTCATATGCATTTTTTTTTAGCGGTAATCATTTAAATTCAAGTTTCTGGAATACATTTTTGTAATTATGTTAGCTTAATTTTAATGATTATTTGTTAATTTTAATTGTCTAAATTAAACTTGACCCGACCGCTTTGACTTATCTAAGGCTTCGTTTGGGATATGGGTTGGCTTTTTGATTATTTTAGTTTGGGACTAAAAAGTCTCGTTTGGCATTGGCTTTTTGATTTTTATGAAAGAAAAAAATAAAATGATTATAGTTTAGTTATGACATTTTGTTTTATTAATTTTTTAACCTATTTTATCTTTTTATGACTATTTTAATCTTTTAACTCCAAAATTTGTCATGCCAAACAAGGGCTAAGACTTGACCCGACCGTTTATTAATTTTGTCTTGCTTAAGTGCAATTAAGGACACCCCCAAAAAGTCACAAGTCATTGTCATGGTCCAGCGGTTCATAAATTTGAGAAAAAATTATTGGTTGGTCACGCAGTCATGTCTTTAGCTAATCATAAATTTTCATGTTCTCTTAAATTTCTCAATTATCTAACATAAAATTATAAATTCTATCATTTTCACCAATTAGAACACATGTAAGACATCACGTCACGATGCCCAAAACCAACCAATGACTTCTCAAATTCCATACTATCATGTCATGACTTTGTTGCCTCTCAGAATTTAAGGCATTGTCTTTCAATCAATTTTTTTTTTCTTAACAGGTTGTGGAAAATATAACCCAAAGGAAAAAAAAACACGTCACATCGTGTGTCATCGTCGTATAAAATAGATTCCTTTATTTTGAAAATTTTATAATGTGTACCACACATTTTAATTTTAAAAATGTATATAAGTTTAGTTATCTATAATATAGAATTTGATTTTAAAATTATGTGGTGGTTAAATTTGTAGTTTACTTGGTCATAAGAGTTTGTGGTGGTTATAGGGTTTTTGTGGTGTTTTTGGTTATAATCCAAATTTATTTTGAGGGTTCTTTTTGGGGGGCAATAACAAATCATGATAGTCATGCCTTTAGCCAATCACAAATTTTCATTTTCTCTTAAGTTTTCTAATCATCTAATACAAAATTATGAATTTTATTCTCTCCACCAATTAGAACACATGTAGGGCATCACGTGACAATATCCAGAACCACCCAATGGCCCCGTTTGGTAGAGCTGTGGAAAAGTGATTATAGCTTATAACTTAACAGCTTATAGCTTATAACTGTGAACATAAACTGATTTTTTACTTTATAAGTTAAGTTGCTCCTCCCCCACTCAAAGAATAAGTTGATTTTTGACTTACAAAAAGCTATAATAAGCTGTCTTGTTAAGCTGAACCAAACACATCAAAATAACTTAAATTAAACTAAAAGCTGAAATAAGCTGGAAATAAACACTACCAAACAGGGCCAATGACTTCTTCAATTCCAGGCTATCATGCCATGTAGGGATGGCAATTTAAACCCGGCCCGATGGGGACCCGATCCCCCGACCCGATTGGAACGGTTTTTCCCCGAAAATTATCCCCATAGGGCCGGGGATGGTATTAAAAATTAAATCCCTGATAATTTTCAGGCCGGGGACGGGGATAGGTTCCTCAACCCCGGCCCCGGTCCCGAATTATCCCCGCATAACTCCCCGAATATTCCCCATATATATATGTAATGTTTGACTCTACCTCACTCTGAGTCACTCACATGCATTTCAAAACATGCATTTCGTTTCTATCTCATGGTCTCAGCCTCCCTCCCTCTCTCTGCGCAGCTGCTCTCATGGCGTCGTCGTCGTCCCTCCATCGCCGATCTCTCTTCTCTCATCACCGCCAATCGTCAGCCTCTTCCCCATTGTCGCTGTCCGTTGTCCCTCCTCCCCACAGCTGCTATACGATGCCGTTGATGATGTTTTTTTTTTCTCAGATCTCCTCCTCCGACGTTGATGATATATTATATTATATGTTTTTTTTTCTCCTTCTCATCCGTGACCTCTCTTCTCAGATCTGTGTAGTGTGTGTGTGTGATGTTGATGATGTTTGCTAAGTTCTCTTTTTCTACTCAGATCTCTCTCAGAGAGCTATTTTTCTTTTCTTTTTTTGTTGATGAAGATCTGTTTTATTTTCTTTTTATTTGTGGGTGAAGATCAACTCCTCTTCCTCCTCTCGTTTTTTTATTATTTTTTATTTTTTATTTTTCTGGAGTTAATTTTTTTTGAAGATCTGTTGATTGATGATGTTGTATTTGAGCTGAAGTGGGTTGTTAATGGCCGGGGATTTTCGGGGTCGGGGAAACCCGATCCCCGTTAGGGGCGGGGGTGGGGGCGGTAGTGGGATCCCCGTCGGGGATCGGGGCCGGGGATGGGGGGAAGTTCGGCGATCGGGGATCGGGGACGGAGAGGGTGATGCCCCGCCCCGTTGCCATTCCTAATGCCATGACTTTGTTGCCTCTCAGAATTTAAGGTATTGTCTTTCAGTCAAATTATTTTCTTACCCGGTTGTGGAAAATATAACCCAAAGGACAAAAAAGATATCATCATTGTGTGTCATGGTCGTATGAGATAGATTCCTTTATTTTGAAAATTTTATAATGTGTCCATACGTTCAAATTTTAAAAATATATATAAGTTTCGTTATCTATAATGTAGAATTTGATTTTAAAATTCTGTGGTGGTTAAATTTGTAGTTTACTTGGTCATAAGAATTTGCAGCGGTTATAGGATTTTTGTGAATTTGTGGTGGTTATAGGATTTTTGTGGTGTTTTGGTTATAATCCAAATTGATTTTGAGGTTTTTTGGGGGCAATAACAAATCATGATAGTTGACCAAAAATATTTACAAATTTTTTGAGGTGCAATTTTTTTTTTATGTAAAAAAAACCAGCAAAAATTGCACCCCACAAAAGTTTTCATATTTTTATAAATATTTATCCTATTTATTTTCTTTTCTAAAAAAAAAAGACTACTTTCCTATTCTATTCGTTAGTACGAGACAATTTCGAAATTTTACTTATGTAGTGTGATTTGTAATTTATTAACATTCATGTACTAGGTGAATGATATGATGTTGCTTCTCATAAGCATTTTTTTAGACGTAATCATTGAAATTCAAGTTTTTGGAATACATTTTTATAATTATTGTTGGCTTAATTTTAATAGTAATTTATTGATTTTAGTTATCTAAAGTAGATTTGATCGGACCACTTTGATTTACCTAATACTTTACTTTGAGGCCCCCCTCCAATACTATAATAGTGGCTTTGTCCTTGCTCACGAGTCCTTTAAATTCTCTGAGATTAAGGCCTCGTTCGGCAACAAGCCGGTTTAGTCAAAAAATTAAAAAGTTATTGAAAAAATCAAAAAATCAACAACTCATACAAAAAAGTCAAAAATTCTCTTTTCTCTCTATTTTTTCACATCTTTTCGTAAAAAATCAAAATGTCATCCCAAACATACTAATTTTTTTTAGTTCATATTTTAGCCAAAAAGTCAAAAATTATTAAATTAGTCTGTTTCCAAACGAGGTCTGAGAGTACCCTCAAGTTCCATAAAAGATTCACTCGTACAAAATATTAACAAAATACATCAAGTATAATTTTATTCAATGCTCCACTTTAAAGTTATAGTAGTTAATAGACTCCAGATTGTAAAAACAATAAAATAAGAAGGAAAAAAAAAAAAAGAAAGAAAGTGGGGTAATCGGATGTTTGTTTGCAGAGAAGTTATTTAATGATCTTGAAACATGATCGTGTAGTATCTCAAGTAAATTGTGATTAATGAAAAGTATGGAATCACCATTTTGTGTTAAATGATTTCAAATAAAAAAATAACACAGTGATTGACTAGGGCCAAATTCATGTGGTTCCTTTAGACCATGAGCCATGATATAATTTTTCTTATTTGCAAGGTTTAGGACTGCCCACGTGGCGGACTTAATGAGGAGTACTAGAAGGGTGCACTTAAACTTAAAAGTAAACTTACAAATTTAATTTTTAAAATTCAAAATTGCTATGACAGTTAAGCTATCATGAAGAATATGTGTGTAGATGTAGGGAATTTTTATTTTTATTTTTATTATTCAATTTACACGTGGCAAAAGTTTTAGGAGACCAAATTTAAATCTCACTTAATATAATAGTATAGATAATTTTGTTGGCAACCACACGTGTAAATAAAAGGGTAAATTATAAATATACTAATTTGTTTAAAATATGATTTACGAGTGATTCTACTTACATCATAAAACTATCTCCTTACACTCTTAAAATATTTTTTATAATACTAGTTTTAACCTCCACCCCATTACCACCACCTCCACCGGCCCTAGTTCCAGAGAGAAACCCTACTCCTCCTCTTCCTCATCTATCAACGCTAATCTCCCAAGGAAGGTGCTGGTGCATAGTTTGGGACATTCTCTCTCTCTAAATATATATAAGGGATTTATTGATTTAGGCACTATTTGACACAAACTAAACAAGTACACTTATTTGGGTTATATCATCCTTCTATTTTTCTGTATATCTTTTCATAAAAAGTCAAAAAGTATACTTATTTAAATTATCTCAAATAATCTCATAAATTCTAAAACAAAATGGACTCCATCCATGTATTTGCTTAAAAAAATTGGGTCTCTCTTTCTCTCAAATCTTTCTTCTTATATGATTTGTTCATATTTTTGTTCTAGATATGATTTGGGTATTGAACCTTGGGAGAAGAGGATTTTGTCTGTCAATGGAGTAGGCCATGAGACCCGAAGCATTGAGATTGATGGTGACCGAACCAGAGTGGTGGCGGAGTGGCAGTGACAATGATAGTAATAGATAAGTGGAGGTGAAGAAATTATGGTTTGAAATGTTTGGGTGCAAGGAGAAGAATTAATAGTAGGGAATTGTAAAAATGTAAAATAAAATTTTAATATTTTAAGGGTGTATAGAGATAGTTTTGTAGTGTAAGTAGAATCACTGGTGATTTGCTCATTGTGATTTTAGAAATTATGTCTTTTAAAATTCTTCATTTCATAATAAATGGAATCTTTTATTAATAAATCATCAAATTAATTAACAATTTTTAATGATGTCATAAATTTATTTTAATTAATAATTTAAATAATTTTATTATTATATAATAGAACAGTTAGATATTTTATTTTTTTTCAATTAATTTTGTTGAATAAAAAATTCAGATAGAGGGATATTTGTAATTTTTTAAATCACATGAAATAATTTGTATTTTAAGCAAATCTTAAGGAGCGTATTTGTAATTTACTCTAAAGTAAAACATAAATTAATTTTATTTCTTAAATTATCTTATTTTTTTCATTTTCATCCTTAAATTATTATTTTTATTTTTATTGTCCGTTCATACAACCCAAACGAAAATAGTTTATTCAAAATACAGTAATGATATAAACATAACCTAATGGGTAAAAAGTTTATTTTATAATTTTGACGATCTAAATTATAATCAAACGGCCATCTTCTTGCTCATTCTATTTGGAAAGTTACTTCCTTTTTTTTTTTATAGTGATTTTTGACTTTTTAATAAAAAGATGAGGTGAAAAAATTAAATATGTTTGGATTTTTTTTTTTAATTTTTTACAAAAGAATGTGCAAATAGTAGAGTGAATGGGTAGGAATCTTTAACTTTGTAGAGTAAATTAGAAAAAATCTTTTAATTTTTTTTTGTACAAATTGAATTTTATTTTTTATTTCAAATATATAATATTTATTTTAAATATTTTATTTTATTTTATAAATATATTTTTAAATATTTTAATTTTTTTGTTATGTGTTGGTTATGATTTGAGTGTAGAGTTTTGAAAGTAGTATGGAATTTCGAATTATATGTTTGGTTATGAGTTTTGAAAATAAATTTTTGAATTGCGTATTGAGTTATATGTTTGCTTACGATTTGAGTGTCAAATTGTGTTTTGAGTTTAAAAAATTAAAATTAAAAATTAAAATATTTACAAAATAAAATAAAATGTTTAAAAGAAAAAATTTAAATAAAAATTATATATTTAAAAAAAAAATATTCTTAAACATTTTTTAATATTTTTAAAAAATAAATCCAAAAAATTCAAAATACAACTAAAAATTCAAAAACTCAAAACTTAAAATAGAAATCAAAACTCTTAACCAAATAAATTTTCTCTTTTCAAAATTTAAAATTCAAAAACTCTTCAATACATTTTTCAAAATTCTTTTCAAAACTCATAATCAAATAAATTAGAAATGAAGTTAATAAAAAAGTTATAAAGATGTTATAATGGTTGGAGAAGAAAGGTGTACGGAGAGAAACAATAGAAAAATGGGGTTAGAAAAATGGTGTAGAGAGAGAAATAATAGAAAATAGGAGAAATGATAACTTTTTGTAAATTTGAAGATGTAGAAAGGATATTTTCATATTGAAAATTGACTTTACTCTCTTCCAGGGCTGTGTGGCTCTCCCATTTTGTTATTTTTGACAGAAAAATTAACGGTGTATTTTAGTTTATAAATTACATGAGGGTTATGTAATCATTTCCAAATTTTAGGGAGATAAATCTGCACATGACCCAAATTATAAGAGGGTAAAGTGAAGTTTGCCCAACAAAAAATTCTGACAAGGTGTTAATTGTAATTTTTCAAACCATAAGAGGTAATCCGTATTTTAAACATATTTTAAGGAGTTATTTATAATTTATCCGTAAATAAAATATACTTGTATTGGAAAATGTTGATATGCAATTTTTATTTTAAAATTATTATTATAAAGAAAGTTACGAAATTTTATAATATTAATTATCAATTATGGTAATGTAATTAAGTTTATATTATAGCAGTGCAATATTCAGGAGGTGTATTTATAATTTATTCATAAATAAAGAGTGCTGCTATTAGCACCTACTTAATTTCTTTAGACCCCAAAATTCTCACTTTTTTTTTTTATTAAAATTATACTCTAAAGTAAAATTACATTAAAAGATAACTTTTAATGGAACACTCGCCCACCAAATGAAAACAATTAGAATGACACTGTACAATATTGTACATGCACCTCCATCCCCATCTCTGCATATTCCTTACCAATCTAAACCCTAATCATATTATTCTTCATCACCATCCTAAACCCATGTATTCATCTTCAATGAAAAATATTAGAAACTATCTAATCAGTTAACATTTTGTTCGGTAGTTTCAAATGTGTTCAATGTTCTAAATCAGTTAACGTTACAAACAAACCTATTACAGGCTCCGAGTTTTTACATTTGTGGACGTTTTCACTATTCGTTGATACTTATAGAGTAATGGAGGATGATGACAACAATTTTAATGAGGTTGGCGTTGCATTGGTAAGTTTATTTATCTTATTCAAGATTATTTTCGGTTCAGTACTGATTTGTCAACTATTAAAGTTCTATTCAGTAATACTGAGCTAAATAGAAACATTTAGTTTAGTAATACAGTACTGAACATAAACATTTTGTTCGGTACTAGAATACCAAACAGTTCCATATTTTTTTCCTATTTTTGTTTTCTCTGAGAGTTTTTCCCTCTAAAATCCCCTGTATTGAGGGTTTTGACCCTGAAATAAATAAAAATAATAATATGTGATGGAAGTTAGAGGTTACCTAAAAGAAGAAGAAAGAGACCGTCGAAGAGATTTTAGACGAGATTTTTGACTAAGATACCGTTGTTCATGGTGACGAGGAGAAACAGATCATCATTTGTGAGAGAATGAGAAGAAAGGGACAGTCAATTCGTCTCTCAATCGTTTGTTGTTCTCAATCGTTCATCGTTTACTGAGAGAAGAAGAAGAGAGGGTGTGCAAAATTAGGTGGGTACTTAGGTGTGATGATATTATGAATATGATAAAATTGGTATTAAATGAAATGTTTAATGAAATCTTATTAAAATTTAGAGTTTAAAGTGGGGGTTCAAAGAAATGAGAGGTTCAAAGAAATTTAGGTACTAATAGTAACCCTCTAAATAAAATATGGGTAAATTACACTTACACCCCATGAGGTTTGGGTTTAATACATATCACCCCTTGATGTTTGGAAAATTACACTAAACCCCCCTGCCATTGTAATTATTTAGACAGAATGAAGATATTGAACTTATGCATTATCTCTTTTTTTGCTATGCTTTACCTCCTCTGTTATTGTTGTTATTGTTTTTTTTTTTTTTTTCAATGTAATTTCTTTTGTTTTTCTACTAGGAGTTGGTCTTTTATATAAGCAGGGGATTTGTGAAATGTGACTATTAACTACAGGGGTGATAATGTAATTTTCAGAACGTTAGGAAGTGAAATGTAATTGAACCAAACTTCAAGGGGTATCAGTGTAATTTATCCATAAAATATACTTTGTATTGGAAAATGTTGATATGCAATTTTTTTTTAAAATTATTATTATAAAGAAAGTTACGAAATTTTATAATATTAATTATCAATTATGGTAGTGTAATTATGGTTATATTATAGCAGTGCAATATTCCTGGACAAATAAAAGTCTGTTACACGACTAATACCGTCCAAGGAGTATGCATCAGTAGCTGAACTGTTGTGCATTTGAGGTGAAATATCTTGAGCCTGATAGTGACTGCACATACATAAAAGTTGATATCAGTCAATTTTAGTTTAAAATCTCTGTTCTGTATAACTCAAGGAAAAAAAACACATAAAAACAAATGAAGGATGGCAACAGGAGTCAAGTCCTTCCGTAGGAAATACGCGTCTGATTAATGCTGAGAAAATATTTTTCCACATTTGATTGCGTTTTTGAAATTAATGTTTTAATTGTTTTGTAGCGTGGTAGCAGGGTGGTGATCAAACTTGTGGGGTTAACTTGAGAAAAATACATGTTCTGTTTGGGTGAGTGATTTGAGAAGGAATTTGAAAAAAGAAAGAGAAAATGTATGTGAAAGTATGTAAAATGTAAGTATATTTTATCCACATTTCACCTATCTTTTTCATTTCTCTCTCCAAATCTTTTCACAAATCCCACAATCAAACACAACATTACTCCTATGAGTTTGACATTATTAGACTGATTTATAGTATAACTAAAGTAACTAAAATTATACAGATGCTGGATAGCCCTGAAATGAAAAAAGATATATATTTTAATAGATAGGAAAAAAAAAAAAAAAGGAGAGAAGAAGAAGAAGAAAGATAACATCATCTTTTCATCCATACAATTCACAAATTACTTATGAAAAAATATTTAAATGTTCTGTGAATTAAAACCTTGAGAGAGACAAGTATAATTATGTCGAAGTACGGGGCTAATTATATTTTTTCTAAACTTCAAGAGGTGAGTGTAATTTATCCAAATTAAAAATTAGACTTGGCAGACTTTCATCTAAATTTATCTGCAAAATGCCATCGGGTATACTTGAGATTGAGTCCACAACATGAATCCAGAATGTGAATATTCAATGATTAAATCTTATTGTGTCAAGTATTAATTTAAATTTAAAACTTCATATATCATGGTTTATTAGGATGTAAACAATTGGGTATGCCAGTTTGATCAAGCAGAAACATAAGGTTCAGGTTTGTATAAACCAAGGGTTTTTTTTTTTTTTTTGTGTGTGTGTGTCCGTGTGTGTGTGTGTGGATAAACCACGGTTTAATCACACAGAGTTGTCACTAGCTGAACAAATATCAGACTAATCAATTCAAGCCTGATAAAATCTGTTATTAGCTTTTGCCTGTAAAGACTGTACTTTGTGAAGTCTTCTGCAAAACTAATGAAAGAAAATACTTGAGGATGAATCTTATATATGCATTTGAAATGTTATCTTCTTTCACTCAATTGAACATCATCTACTATGGAACCTATGTAGAGTATATGGCAGGATCGGCATTGCATGTCGCAGCCTTTTTAAGTACATTCAAATGAGAAAAGATGAATGCTAAGATAAAACACAAAGAAAAATTGAA